GGTCCTCTTCACCTGCGGGGGTCCTCTTCACCTGCGGGGGTCCTCTTCACCTGCGGGGGTCCTCTTCACCTGCGGGGGTCCTCTTCACCTGCGGGGGTCCTCTTCACCCGTGGGGGTCCTCTTTACCCGTGGGGGTCCCCTTTACCCGCGGGGGTCATGTGAACATTCAGCCCCCTCCATTGTATCTTTGAGGAGGCGGGGATGTTTGAGGATGTTTCTTTGCAGTTTGGTCGGAGGGGTTTGGTGACTGAGCTCCACATGCAGTGGATGTTTCTGTTGTTCTCTAAGATCTGATCTGACTCGTCTTGGACTTGTTGTGTGACGTTTTGTTCACCCTCCAGGAGGAACTGTACAGATTTCGCGCAGCGATCCAGTGAAGAGCGGCTGAGCTCGGATGTCCAGGGTCGCTGTGCTTCATGTCATCACCTTACCTGAAAGGTCAGGGATCCGCATCTTCAGACTGCAGCTCAACGATTTGCTTTTTATGGATGGACAGAATAATTAGAGCTTCAGGAAGTTTCTGATGGTTTCAGTCTGTTTGCTCTTTGTGTTTTTAACGTCTTCTAACCTGAGATTGATTAGTGATGATAGAAGCTTTTCCATCTGTGGCCCCAAACTCTGAAGACAATACCTGTCCACTTCTACTGGAACCTCTGACCCTGTTCTTCATAACAGCCTCACCCTGAGACCAGAGAACATCATCAGGTCCAACCGCTATGTCTGTAGGTTCTAATCTACCAAATATCACAATGTTCTAAATGGGTTCTAGAGTTTCTAGCTCTAGAGGTTTGTGTAGAAATACAAAAAGCTTCTTATTCGGCATCAGGACCTGAGCCCACCGGGTCGACCAAACACTCCTCTTTGTACCAAAGATAAAAACCTCTTATTCTGATCAATAAACCCTCCAAACTTTCAGCAAACCTGAATGCTTTGATCCCTCAAACACAGAGACACCCTGCAGAGCTTGATCTGTTGATTTTAACACGTTTCCTCTGATCAGCCAATCAGAAATGAGGGAAGAGAGCGGCGCCATGTGGGCCCTGGAACCCGGAGCTTCAGTCGGTCAGAACCACCTTATGTAGACTGAAGATCAGAACCATTAAGCAAGGTTCTACTTAACAAGACATTGGTTCTGTTCTGTGCTGACCTGATCTAGTCAGAACTGGTTAGAGCTGGTCTGAACTGGTCTGATCTGGTCTGAGCTGGTCTGAACTGTTCTTATCTGGTCTGATCTGGTCTGAGCTGGTCTGAACTGGTCTGAACTGGTCTGAACTTTTCTTATCTGTTCTGAACTGGTCTGATCTGGTCTGATCTGGTCTGAACTGTTCTGATCTGGTCTGAACTGGTCTGATCAGACCAGATCAGAACAGTTCAGACCAGAT